AGAAAAGAAAAGGGAGAAAAAAGGACAGAGAAATTCCTTTTGCAAACGGCTCGACTGACGTTCGGCAATTGGTGCAGGAGGTGTGTTGCTTACGAGAAGACCGAAAGCCGAAGGAGAAAGATCGGCATGTATAATGGAGGGGAAGGAAGGACGTTGAAGCCCTGTTGTGACGCAGCCTTAGCTTCATCGAGGTATATATCCACTGGACCTGCTAAGGCCCATTCTCTGCTCGCCGTTACCCCCCTCCCTTCCCGTCCTTCTCCTCTCCGTTCCTGCCTCGGCGTCCGTCCTCTGCCCTTCCGCCACTGAATCCCTCGGTCCCGGGGCCCTTGCCCCACCACCGGGGCCCGCTTCCACTCGCTGCCTCCGTCCCGCGCGTCGACGATGCCTGTCCTCAAAGTCCTCCTTCCACATTCCTGGGTCCCGAGTCGCCGTGCGGCGGAGACGCTTGGGCGGGAGGTGGAATACGAGAGGCCCTATACAAATCACCGGGCTACCGTCTTACCCGGGCTCATTCTTTCTCTTCCTTTCTCCCTCTTTTCCATTCCAGTCTTCCTTCCTCTCTTTCCTTCCTCCTCTCGCTCGCTCTTCCTCTCTCTGGATCCGCTCGTTTTCGTCCTTTTTCTTCGTCGCTCTCTCTCTCTCTCTCTCTGCCTCTCTTTCTCTCTCTCTCTCTCTCTCTTTCTCTCCATCTACCCCGAGTACCTCTATCCCCATCCTTCTCGATCCAGCCTATTATCTCTCTCATTTATCGCGTTCACTCCGTCCCGCTTCCTCCCGCTTCCTGTGCCATCCTCCGTCTCGCTCGTAACCCTCCGCTACTCTTCGCTCCTCCCCATATAATACACGCACGGAGGGGTGTGCCGGAGCTCTCCTCCTCATTCCACCGGCGCGGCTCGGCGCGGCGCGTCCACCTCCGGCCCGTTGCTGGGGCCCGATTCTCTGGGCCCGCGCTGCTCTCTCGGCCGCCCTTCCTCCTCCGTGCACTTTCATGTCCCTTTTCTTCGGTTCCTTTTTCTCCTGTTGCGAACAACACGCACCTCGACCCTCGGCCACGCACACGCACCACGCGTTGACGCCCAAAAAATTTGACGTTTCGTATAAATTACCCGCGACGCGGCGAGCCAGCCCGACTCGGCCCTGGCCCAGCCAGCCTGCGCATACGCTCTCCTCTTCGGATGCTCGAATAATTTGCCGGCGAGAAAGAATGGAGAGAAGGAAGCGCGTCCGGAACTCGTACAGAGACGCAAGAGAGGGAGACGAGTCGCCGCCGTTTTGTCGTGTATATCTCTCGCTAAATATATATATATTTAGTATGTATTTCTACATAGATACGTTTACGTCCGGCAAGAGTCCTACGGATTCGCGCGTACACACCGCTCGCAACCGTCATCCCACGATTCGGTTACGATCATACCGGGCGCAACAATGGGTCTGATCAATTACAGGCGGTTTAGGGACGCGTCCGGCAGAACGATTTCGGGACTGTCCGTCATCATCTTTCCGTTCGAGGCCCGGCAGAGCGGAGGGCACCGTGGTCTCGCTCGCGGTTCGGCCCGCAGGCGATCCTTCACGATATCTATTTTTAGTAAGAACCGTCCGAGTCCAGACGGTGGTGATTACAAAATTGCAGCAGCGATTGGTCCGTGTCATTTTACCGCCGAGGGCCACGGCGGGGGGAAGGGCGTCCGGCCCGGGGAGCAAGAACAGGACGAAAAGGACTACCACGGGGAGGGCCGGGGAGGACCGCAGGGGCAGAATACGGGGAGGGAATAAAAAAAGCGAAGCACAACGGGGCGAGGAAGAAAAAGGAGCGAAGACGGTAGCAACAATAACGTCGCCAAGAAGATGAAGAAGAAGAAGAAGAAGCGGCGGCGGCGGCGGCGCGGTGTAGTGGAGGGGAAGAGGAGACCGCCAAAGATGGATCCAGCGTGGCGACGAAAAACCAGCGTTGAAAAAATAGAGGGCCCAGAAGGTTCTAGAGGGAAAACAGATGCAGAAAAACGCCCGGCCAGGTAGAAAACAAACGAGAGGAACGTCGAAGAGTGCGAGATGAGGTCCTAGTGCCTACGGGGCACGGTTTGCGGACCCGGGAACACGGACACGGGCGCGCGCGCGCGCGCTCGCTCGCGCACACTGGGCCCCGGCCAACCGACGCACGCATGCATGCAGGGGTGTGAGCGATCTTTTTCTCCTTGTTTTGGCTTTTCAGATGCATTTTTTTCCTGTCGTGGCATGGCTCGCGCGCCTCAAAACCCGCCAGCTCAGCCTCGCCGTGATGGGGCCCCGCTGGAATGTAGGAGGGAGGGGTTCCGCAGGGCCCAGCGAAGCCCGAGAAGGGTCCGGCTGGGTGGGGGTACCAGTCGGACCGGCTTGTCATGACTGGTGGGAAGCCAGAGAGTAGAGCGAGGGTACCGGTGGCGAGTATTCGTCGCGGGGAGGGGACGAGGACGCCTCGGAAGCAACGGGCCAGAGAGAAAGAGAGAAGGAGAGAGAGAGAGAGGAGCAAGAAGACCACGATATGCAGAAAGATTTCAAGATTAGTCAAGAGTTTCTGGACTAAGAGGACCCCGCGGGCCCCGATGTTTAGACAGTCCGAGGATCGCTCGTCCTCTTCTCTAATTCGGCTTCAACGTCTAGGACACTTTCTCTCCAGCGAATTTTTCGACCAGCTCTCGCGAATCGTCGACGAAACGACGGTGAAAGTATTCTTATCGTCTCGGTGTCCTCGCGTTTCCCGTGAATTGTACGCGCGCGCCCCACGTGTGCGCCTGCAATCTGGCTCGATCGTTTCCCTTCGAGCAAAGTTCCTTCGCAGGTGCGACACTCGTCGACGAATACACGAAAGGACCGTCGTTACGGCGGGCAAAATGCAGGGTGTCCCAGAAATGTCTCGCAGTCCGAAAGTGGCGGGTTCCTCAGGTCATTTGAAGCAACTTTTTCCTTTAGAAAAATTTTCTCCGAGGCACCGTTAACGAGTTATCGACGAAAATCAGCGACCGATAAAAATCGAGTACGGCTGACGCGAGGCGGCACGAAGCCCAGTTCCGCTCATTGGCTCGGTCGCCACGCGCCAGCCAAGCTCGCCTCTCATTGGTCACTGTTTTTCGTTGATAACTCGTTAACGGTGCCTCGGAGAACATTTTTGCAAAGGAAGAAGTTGCTTCAAATGATCCGCGGAACCCGCCATTTTCGGATTGCGAGACATTTTTGGGACACCCTGTATTCTGTCGCGATCGAGACAAGGCATTTAGCACAACGCTACGAACCACGATTCGCTGAAATACTTTTACGCGTGGCACGAGCACTCGACGATGAAACAACGCGATTTCGTGGTGGTAAAAAAATTCCACGACAGCGAGTACCGTCGAACCACCGTGAAGCCGCGACCCCGTATAACGGCAGATAGAGGACGTCGCGTCGGTTTAAAAACTACAAGTGCTTCGTCCACTTTCGCCCGGAGGCTCCAGCAACAATGTCATGCCACGAGGCGTTCTCATGTGAATTGAACGAATCGGATTTCAACGCGACTCGATTGCGTCACGAGTGCTCCTCTCGAAAGATAAATAGCCTTGACTGGATCGGGCCCAGACCGGAGCCGGGTCCAAAAGTCGGGTCTGTCAATCGGCCGGCTAACGACGGTCCCGTCACGAAATCGGACGGGCAACTCGACGTCGTGATCGTGTCGAGGACTCGCGCACTCGCGAAACGCAACACCTAATGACTCGCGTGAGCATCGGTAACCCGATCTACTCCAAAGAGGACGTTAAAATGTGGCGCGCCGTAATTCGAGGCGGATACGCTACCCCGCAAGTCATTCACGATGTTCACCGGGCCCGTCCGACCGTATTTCGTCCGTTAAACGGTGGATCGACGGAAAAGGGGGACGTCGTGTCCCGCGAAGGGTAAATGCACCGGTCGCTCGATAAGCACACGAGCTCGGGGCTTCGACGGCCGGCATTTCCAAGGACCGATTACGGTGCGACCAATGGTACGCGAGCTCTTTATACCGCACGTTTGCTTTCTCGATAGAGTCGCATGTGGAAATACGGTAATGTCTGCCTAACCGACGCTCGGATTGCGCACAAAAATAGACAATTTGGTAGGAGGAGATACGATTATTCGAGCCTTGCAGCTCGTTTTTATATTTCTTGACAATTCATAACTATGAAAACGAACCGCGAGGCTCGCATAATCGCGAGGCTCCTCCTCTCAAATTATCCATTTCTGTGCACAATCCGAGCGTCGATTAGAGAGACATTACTGCAGTGGGGATCTGCCTGATAATTTCTTATAGAGAAAAAGAAATTTGTAGCGATTAGGAAGTACTATTTTCATACTCAGAAACATAGATATTTTTTAAGAAAACGAATTCGATACGGCATTGAAGCTCTTAACCCTTTTACGCGATAAAAATGCCGGAGCAATTTGTCGAATTTGCTAAGGTTTGGGGGGAAAAGCTCATAAAAAGCAAAGTAAGAATGATATTCATAAAATTCGAGAAGAAGCACGTTCGGAAATAATGGTAGAATAAGATAACGATTGTATTTAAATGTTTGTTGAAAATCGTTCGAATAACGTAAATATAAAAGAATATGAAAAATAGGAAAATCGATTCTCTTTGTTAGAGACAGTATTTGCACGTAAGAATAATCATCGTTTGATCATAGCTTTGTGCGGATCACCTGGTACGAAGTATACATAGATATTGCACTTTCAATCGTTTGTAACAAAATATTTGATATCGGACCACAAAATATCGTTCGGGTTAAATATCGGTGATTCGAATGAAAGAAATTTAACGATTTCGCGTCGCCGTCTGTTTTTCCTTTCGCGCCGTTTAATGATTCTTGACGATAATAATTCTGAACGTTTTTCGCGAAGAAAGATTAATATAAAATATTTGAAGCAACTAAGCTTCAAATATCGTGGACATTTCGGTTGCACACGCGCAAGGATTAATGGAACATTAACTTGAAGTAGGAAACAGGTTCACTCACCGGAAAGTATTGCCAGGCCGAAGAGTTCGCAGTCTCGCATGCCCTGCTGGCCAAGAAGCATGCATGTTTGCGCGTACACTTCCTTTACTCTCGACTTCGCCTAGAAAGATAAATGATAATTAGTGAAAACCTGCATGCAACATCGCGATAATGTTTTGATAATATTCAATATTGACGTAGTCGGACGAAAGCCAGTCGAGGTTATTAATATGTGTACACGCGTTGCTCGTGTGGAAATCACGTTCAAAGATTTATGGCTCAACACTGTGAAGCAGAACGAGTGATAAGGTAGAAATAGCTGTTATGTATCCCCGTTGAATTGTTGAAACAGTGGCACAAATAAAATGCAACAAAAAATACATACAACATTCTACTCATATTTTTCAACATTGTTCTACGTAAATTCACTCGCTCGAATGCTATTATGTAACGATCAGCTGTAAAAAAAAAGAACACACTGTTTCACAGTGTGTGCCTTATATTTTTCAATTGCCCCAATTTACGGAACACGAGAACATGACACGAAAACGGTGTTCCACGATGGGTACACGCACGCGTATACCTTTGCTATTTTACCCGCATTATTTTTTATTCGTGTTACATAAATATCTCAATGTTCACGGCGTTACGTAGATCACGTCGATCTATCCGAACGGTAGTATCAATATTCGACAATAACGCATCCAAGCTGTAGTAAACCCGACGATAATCCCTGAAGAACGTTTCACAATAGGTACTTTCACCTTAAGTCCCATTTAAATCCTGCCGTGTAGAGGTCAGTCTATAAAAATTTGAATCCCTATGAGGAGCGACTCCGTCGCGCACAAATCACCGCGCTTTTATCGCGAAGCCACGATTCCGGAGAGAATCGAAACATCATGAGAATAAACCGGAGGATCCGAGGGCGCCGATCCGGCAGTCCCGATAATAAAGTATTCAACATTAATGTCGCACCGTATCGTCGACGATCCTCGATTCTTTTGCCCGCGGCCGGGCGATTCGTCGCATAAATTCCGGCGATATTAACACCCGGACGTTTTATAATCTCGTTCCGGCCGACGGTCTCCCGCAAAGACGTCGGCCACGAGAGGCGTTCGAAATACCTCCGTAAAACGTCTGTCAAAAAGGCCGCATAAAACGCCCGGTCGGAACGCCAGCCGTCGCCCGTTTACGCAAGGGATATTCCGGTTTCTCTAGAATCTGGGATACCGCGGGCTCGGAACTGTGCCCATGGTAACGCGCCACGTGAATTTCTGTCTCGTGTCACCCCCCCTCCCCCCCGAATCGAACCATGAATGGTGCAACGACATTAAATGTCTCCCTGTCTGCTCGACAGTCGGACCTGTTTCATTCGACTGCGTCACGTTTTCTGCTTTCATTCCGGGAGGCATCTGTGCCTCGGTAGAGCTGAATGGTCCCGGAGCGTGGCCATTTTCTACGATACCGGACTTGAATCCGGCCGAATCCGTCGAAGGACGACACAGCTCGGGTAAAAAGCTCCGATTCGCCATATATCATAATATATTACTTCTTTCTTCAATTCTTTTATTATTTATTTATTTTTTCTTATATTATATTTCTCTCTCTCTCGCTCTCTCTCTCTCTTTCTCTCTCTCTCTCTCTCTTTCTCTCTCTCTCTTTCTCTCTCTCTCTCTTTCTCTCTCTCTCTCTCTCTCTCTCTCTCTATATATATATATATAAATTATGGTATTTCCGGGAAATGAGGGGTTCCTGAGATCATTTGAAGCAACTTTTTCCTTAGCGAAAATGTTCTACGAAGCTTCGTTCACGAGTTATCAATGAAAAACAATGACCAATCAAAGACGAGCTCGGTTGGCGCAAGGCAGCCGAGCCAGTCAGCGGATCTGGGCTTCGACCGCTCGTTGGCTCAGCCGCCTCGCACCAATCGAGCTCGCCTTTGATTGGTCACTGTTTTTCATTAATAACTCGCGAACGAAGCCTCGTAGAATGTTTTCGCTAAGGAAAAAGTTGCTACAAATGATCCCAGGAACTCCTTATTTCCGGGAAATACCATAATTTTGAGACTTTCCTATGCTTCCTATGCCATCGATAAATTATTATTATTGCTATTGTACATAACTTAATATAGTGCTATATAAAGAGAGCAGCTTTCCTGAAAATATTTTCCTAACAAGTCGAATTACACGCATACACGTAGTATACGAAGAACTCACGGTCACAGAATTTGATTTTTCTAGTCATACAAAGTCGAGTCTAATTTGGAGTTATAATATTTGCACGGTCGAATGCAGTTCGGGTGAAATAGTGACCTTTTTACGGCGGGACAGTTGAATTTAAGTAGGCAAATAAATTCGTTTAGGAGATCTGCTATTTTGATGGCGCAATACAAGCTTCACAAGGGCTGTCCGACGGTGAGCGAATTTCGCTGAAACGCTAGTGCCGAGGTCACAGCGTGTGGTAACGCTGGCATTCTGCAACGTGCACGCATGTAATAACAATGCGTGGATGGATGAATATTGCAAACGGTGAAAGCGTACCACATACCAGGCTCGTTACGACCGTGGTAGCTCGCGAACTTAGCAATAGCAGTGTCATACGTCGATCAAGGAATCTTGAAGAGAGTATATATATGTCGATTTGTGAAACGTTTTCACTCCATCCTGCCGCGTCTAGGTTCAATTATTCGAACATAGAGGAGGATGGCAATGTCCTGAATCCTACTTTAAATGTAGCAATCATTGTCAACGTTATTTCATACGATATCTGAAGCATTATTTATTTGTTTACGGGATGTGCCTTGGTCCGACGAAACTCTCGGATGAAAAATTATAGAATAAATTATATAGTTTTGTTTAGAAGCTGAAGGACAATTGGAGAGAATTTACTTTACCACGTATTTTTTTTTTAAGAAAATGGGTCGTACTTGAATCTGATCGCTCTCTCTCTTTCTCTCTCTATGGTCGTTTCAATGTTTAAATTAATTATAAACCGTAACTTTCTCGAGACATCCTAGACGTCCATAATAGTTTTTTTACGTGCTTCGATCCTCTGCTATATCTGTGATTCATGACTTATCTTGCTTTAACCGTCTTAGATCTTGTCTTTAGTATCGACAGCTAGTCCTAAAATTTATATCTATATATCTATATCTATATAAATAATTATATAATTATATATCGTGATTTTCCGAATTAATTTCGAAGTAATTCAATAATTGATTTATTTGGTGATTTCTACGGGAAACCTTTTGCCACATAAGACAAATAAGTGATATTTATATAAATTATATAATTATATAAATATAATTTATAAATATAAAATTTCACTAAATAATAAAATATACTNTTTCTTATATTATATTTCTCTCTCTCTCGCTCTCTCTCTCTCTTTCTCTCTCTCTCTCTCTCTTTCTCTCTCTCTCTTTCTCTCTCTCTCTCTTTCTCTCTCTCTCTCTCTCTCTCTCTCTCTATATATATATATATAAATTATGGTATTTCCGGGAAATGAGGGGTTCCTGAGATCATTTGAAGCAACTTTTTCCTTAGCGAAAATGTTCTACGAAGCTTCGTTCACGAGTTATCAATGAAAAACAATGACCAATCAAAGACGAGCTCGGTTGGCGCAAGGCAGCCGAGCCAGTCAGCGGATCTGGGCTTCGACCGCTCGTTGGCTCAGCCGCCTCGCACCAATCGAGCTCGCCTTTGATTGGTCACTGTTTTTCATTAATAACTCGCGAACGAAGCCTCGTAGAATGTTTTCGCTAAGGAAAAAGTTGCTACAAATGATCCCAGGAACTCCTTATTTCCGGGAAATACCATAATTTTGAGACTTTCCTATGCTTCCTATGCCATCGATAAATTATTATTATTGCTATTGTACATAACTTAATATAGTGCTATATAAAGAGAGCAGCTTTCCTGAAAATATTTTCCTAACAAGTCGAATTACACGCATACACGTAGTATACGAAGAACTCACGGTCACAGAATTTGATTTTTCTAGTCATACAAAGTCGAGTCTAATTTGGAGTTATAATATTTGCACGGTCGAATGCAGTTCGGGTGAAATAGTGACCTTTTTACGGCGGGACAGTTGAATTTAAGTAGGCAAATAAATTCGTTTAGGAGATCTGCTATTTTGATGGCGCAATACAAGCTTCACAAGGGCTGTCCGACGGTGAGCGAATTTCGCTGAAACGCTAGTGCCGAGGTCACAGCGTGTGGTAACGCTGGCATTCTGCAACGTGCACGCATGTAATAACAATGCGTGGATGGATGAATATTGCAAACGGTGAAAGCGTACCACATACCAGGCTCGTTACGACCGTGGTAGCTCGCGAACTTAGCAATAGCAGTGTCATACGTCGATCAAGGAATCTTGAAGAGAGTATATATATGTCGATTTGTGAAACGTTTTCACTCCATCCTGCCGCGTCTAGGTTCAATTATTCGAACATAGAGGAGGATGGCAATGTCCTGAATCCTACTTTAAATGTAGCAATCATTGTCAACGTTATTTCATACGATATCTGAAGCATTATTTATTTGTTTACGGGATGTGCCTTGGTCCGACGAAACTCTCGGATGAAAAATTATAGAATAAATTATATAGTTTTGTTTAGAAGCTGAAGGACAATTGGAGAGAATTTACTTTACCACGTATTTTTTTTTTAAGAAAATGGGTCGTACTTGAATCTGATCGCTCTCTCTCTTTCTCTCTCTATGGTCGTTTCAATGTTTAAATTAATTATAAACCGTAACTTTCTCGAGACATCCTAGACGTCCATAATAGTTTTTTTACGTGCTTCGATCCTCTGCTATATCTGTGATTCATGACTTATCTTGCTTTAACCGTCTTAGATCTTGTCTTTAGTATCGACAGCTAGTCCTAAAATTTATATCTATATATCTATATCTATATAAATAATTATATAATTATATATCGTGATTTTCCGAATTAATTTCGAAGTAATTCAATAATTGATTTATTTGGTGATTTCTACGGGAAACCTTTTGCCACATAAGACAAATAAGTGATATTTATATAAATTATATAATTATATAAATATAATTTATAAATATAAAATTTCACTAAATAATAAAATATACTAATATAATAAAAATAATATATATAAATATATATATATATGTATATTATGTATTCATAATATAGTGTATTATATAATAATAATAATAATAATATACTAATATATATAAAATTATATAAATATAATTTATAAATATAAAATTTCACTTATATATATATTTGTCTTACGTGGCAAAGGGTTTCCCGTAAAAATCGCCAAATAAATCAATTATTGAATTACTTCGGAATCAATACGGAAATCGCGATTCGATAATGCGCGAAAGATATTCGCAAAACTCATCGCGCAAAGAACCGATCGAGTTGAAGTGTCATTCCAGGCCGGAGTTAATCGGTGTTCGCGATTTCTCAATCGTTCGCTATGCATAGATCATTCGCAGCTGAACGGCTCCGATGCAAATAGTTCTCTTAAATCACTTAATTCTTCTCGGCGTAGAAAAAGCACGCCGTCCGCTTCGATATCGGCAATTATCCGGCTCGATGAGCAGCGTGTCTCAAGGCTTCTGAAATGACCCGCATTAAAAGTCGCCGCGTAAGAACGAATTCTCAACTATGTAGCGAGTGGCAGTACTCACGATTTCATTTCTTGCCGCCGCGCGTCGCCGCTTTTTTTCCCTCGCCGCGCTGTTAATGAAACATTCCGCGCCCCTCTATCCGCCGGATCGCCGCGGCCGAGCTCGACAGGAGACACCGCCGATGAAGTTCTTATTGTTGTTATGCAGCCGAACAAATTTATACCACACGCCGTTCGGTTAATTACCGATCACGCAAGACGGGTCTTTTTTTATCCAGCGCGGTTTCTTGCCGATGTATCCTCATTTTCCGCGCCAGGAATTCCGATGTCCGAGAGCTCGATTTATTCGCGGAGAGTCAAGGGTACACTCTGCGTTTATAGCCGCGAAAAAAAGAGAGAGAAACGAATCATTTTCCTGCGTTCTATTACCACGTTTATGCCGCGGAAACGTGATACCAATTATATTCGAGCGAATTCGAAATTGTGTATTTATAATCGAGCAGTTGACTTTTACCAGTCGCGGTAAAAGTTCTATGCCCGGTCAGACTCGACGATGCGTTTCGGCCCGATGATTGTTTATTTAGCAAATTTATGTTTAGATCGATGCGTGAGTTCGTAGGAGTGACTTGAAATATCTTACAATTGTTTTGAATGGGTTGTAAAGTCTCGCATGGAAATGTGACTGAATTATTTTATATTATAGCGAATTTTGAAATAGAAGGGTGCTTCGAACCGCGAAGGGTCGAAGGGAAAAAATATTTTTCGACCTTTTAACCCTTTGCGGTCGAACGGTGAATCTGAGGCACCGCTAAGAATTGTTGTATCATTTTTTAGAAGTGCCCGAAGGTGCCTTCGAATCGTGTCAAGTGCCTTTCGAACTGCCTTCGAATCGTGTCATGTGACCTCCGAATTGCCTTCGAATCGTGTCAAGTGCCTTTCGAACTGCCTTCGAATCGTGTCATGTGACCTCCGAATTGCCTTTAAATCATGGCACGTGGCCTCCGAATTGCCTTCGAATCCTGTCATGTCGCCTTCGAATTGCCTTTAAATTTAAATCGTGACATGTGCCCTCCGAATTGCCTTCGAATCACGTCATGTGGCCTCCGAATTACCTTCGAATCGTGTCATGTGGCCTCCGAATTGCCTTCGAATTGTTTCGGGATCGTGTCATGTCGCCCCCGAATTGCCTTCGAATCGTGTCAAGGTGGTCTCCGAATTGCCTTCGAATCGTAGCAAAAAAATTAGAAATAGAAAAGTTAAATCATCGTTTTTATTCCAGCATTACTATTTTTTTTTGCAGATTGCCCCGACTTAGTATTCTCGGATCTGCCGGTTTCAATTCCGACCTCCGAACATTTTTGGGAGAAATTACCGTACATCATGGCTTAGATCACACTTCATCGAAATTTGTCGCAGTGAGAATCCTTTATCGTGCAAATAAATAATGATTCGTATCTAAAGTTTGGCGATTTAACCCTGAAACACCCTCTATAGTAACTTGAATTTGAGCATCGTATAATTGCAGAAACGTTCGCATTGTTTCTTCAGCAGTCAATGAATCAGGGATTGCACGAAATCGGAAGAAAAAGGGGGGGGGAAAGGGGGAAAAAATGCAGCGAGCGGTGGGGGAGAAAATAAGATTCTCGGTGAACACCCACGGATATTCAAATCGCGATTCGCTGTGCCTCGCTTCCTACTGTAACGGCCGACTCTTTTTTCCCCCTTGAATCGGAGCGGCTCAATGGTCGCGCGCCGACCCTCGCTTTACTCGCGAAACAAAGCATCGACGAATTCGCTGTCAGCCCGATTTGCATAAATTGCGGACGCTCGGCCAACATATCGCGCGTGTTCCGAGTTCCGAGCGAAGCGCAAGAGCGGAATCACCTTGTTCCTCTAACAACGAGAGAAACGCGAGCCTTGTGCAGATTTTTCGGGCGAACTTCTTTCCTGTTTACGGCAGTGTCTACAAGTCCTAGCGAACATTGATTTACATACGGTGGCGGTCATATACTTAAAACCACTTGGAAAACGTTGCAACTTTCTTCAAATTGGTCAGAATGACGTGAATTTTTTTTTAGATGTCGGAAGCACTAGCGCTCGTTACTCAATAACTATAGTATCTTTTTTCTTTTTTAAATTTTGCTACTACTAGAAACGACAAAAGAAGAAATTAGAAAACTCACGTTTTTTAACTTCTTTTTATCCGAGCCTATAACGAAAATGGTAAAAAACGCGTCTCGTAGATCACGATAACTAGTGTCGATAAATTATGTGTAGTGCATTTTATGACCGATGCGACAATCGATGCGTCAAAGTTGCTTAAAAAACACTCTTTCAAATAATCGCAGGTTTCGCGACTTAGTGCAGTGAAAAAAGTGCGTATAAAATCGAGTCTCTGAACTTATAGAACAGTTACCCTTTTAGCGGTCTCTTAAATATAAACAAACATGATAACGTAGAAATTATTTTCTAACATGATATAAGAATTTTTGGCGATGCCTCAGAGTCGCCGCTCGAGTGCAAAGGGTTAATAATTTCGCTTCGCCGTACAAAACAACCCTGATTTTCAACGTGTGAAATACGAGGAAGTTGGACGCGCGTTGTGTCCGTCGGTTCGAAATCTTCCTCGGAAATTATCTCGAGGCTTCGGATCCGTGCCGCGAGTGATTCTAAGCTGCGGGCCGATAGCGTGTGTCCCGGTAATTAATAGTTTCCGATTACAGGCAACAAACTCAAGTGCAACGGATAAATCTCGGCCGGCGATGCAGCGGCATCGACGTCGCTTAATGAACTCCGAATCCCATCCGGCCCGAGATAACGCGACGCCATGGAAATCCATAAAGAAGTCCGAATAACCGTCGACCGCTACGGTTCTTTGAAAGTTGAGTGCCTCTTATAAATAATATTGTTACAGAACGACCGATGGTGGAAGGGGGCCGGGTGGGGAGAATCGTTTTACGACTGCTTCAACAACTCGATTCCTCTCTTTGAAAAAGTGGGGAGGAGGCGTCGTAACACGGAGGCACTTGGCCGCGGTGATAAATGCACGGGTACGCTGCACACGGGTCCCAACGTACCGGTAACAGTGCACAGGTAAGGGCGTACAGGCAAGAGAGCGTCTTCGAGACCGAGAGAGCCACGCCAGTTTCTATCCCTTTTGCTCGTTAGTCGCGAGACCGATAAAAGCCATATTATTTTCCACGATTAGAAAGTTACCTGATGTAACACGAGCTATCCCGGTCCACGCGGGAACCGGTTGAAGGTTCCGCTATGCCGGTGTATCGGGATCTTTCTCGCATGTCCGCCCGCAGCGAAAAATCGGGCCCGATGCACGGTCTCGCGACTCGTGTACAAAAGTTACAAACGCCCCGGTTTCGACGTTTCTCGGGTCGCTTTTTCCTGCCGACGAAACCGAACATTACTACGATGCCGGCGTAAGAACACGTCGGGTTGGAAGATAACTTTAACCCTTTGCGCTCTCCACGCGTTTCTCGAGTATTGCCTACCAGCAACTCTGGCACATTTTTGGAGCAAAGCGCCTGAGACAAAGGAAGTCTTATTTTGAGCGGAAAAGATTACACGTCCTTGCGAAAGCGGTTGATTTTATTCATTTTATGCCGCTAAGTATAAAAATTGGCAAAAACTGTTTTAATCGCAATGGTATCTACTTAACATTGTGCGAGGTCGGTGCATCGACATCGTGAATTGTCACCGAAATTTCCAAGCAGCAAATGCATCCTCATCGAAATGGATAAATTTACTATCAATGATATTCTTCACGATTCTTAAATAAATATATCCCTCGTGTTCTTTGACGCGATTTATTATAAAATTAGCACTGCGAATCGTCCGTTGAATTCTGTTCGGATACGGAATTATCGAAACAAAAATATCTTTGGCGTGAGTTTGCCGGAATTTTTTTATCGTTAATCTTCACTGGGATCGGCTCGATAATTAAATTAAATTAAAAATTAGTAAACATTCTTCGGACGTTCTAAAATAAAGTTGAACAGCGTTTTTCTGAAAAATATCACTACCAGCAACTCCGGCACATTTTTGGCGCAAAGCGCCTGATTCAAAGGAAGTCTTATTTTCAGCGGAAAAGATTACACGTCCTTGCGAAAGCGTTCGATTTTTAATCGTAATGGTACACACGCTAAGCACGTTTCCACTGCAAATAACAATTGCCAACGTCGACAGAAACATAGCATCTTCGGTGTAATCGTGCTAAAAAATTTACGGAACAAATGACGGATGTCTCCGTAGCGGAGCCAACGGAGCGCTAAGGGTTAATCGGGTGCTCGGAAGATCGAATCTATTAGGCCATTCTGTCGTTTCTTACCTGCTGTTCGTGGACAGTGGTGCATGAAAGTGAGCAAATCTTGTGTTATTGTACGATTGAGTGCGCGCGGCGGTTCATTCGAAGCCTGAGTTGGGCAAAATGTGATTCGGACGACGGATAAGCTTTCAATGAATTGATGGAAACTAGGTGATAAAGTAATATTTGTACTCCGGGTCGATTGTTCGAGCGTTGAATTGCATCGAAAGTGTTATTATTCCTCTGCGAATTTGATGTAATATTAATAGTTAATGCGTTTACAGAAAAAAAAGAAAGATAAATCAAAATACAGTGGAACGTCGACTACGATATAATTGAATTCTTATTTATTAATATAACTTAATTTTCCGCAATGAAACTTAATTTTCCGTCTGTTACTTCTCATTTGTAATTAAGTATGTTATACAGTAAATTCTCTCCAATTGTTCTTCAGCTTGTAAACAAAAATGGGCGATTTGGGAAGTGGAGATACAATTATTGGAGTCTCGTGGCTCATTTTTACAGTTGTTGACAATCGGCAACAACTGTCTCTGCCTGTTCTAATTTCTGTGCGTGCCTTAATTAAGCGTGCCTGCTCCGATTTTTGTGCATCTCCCAGTTTCCGCGCCTCTCCCAATTATAACAAACTGCAGTTAACCACTTGCACTATGATTTCTGGCGCAGGTAGTCACGTTAATCAGCACTTCGAGAAAAATTCCAGGAGAAAGAACGTTCGTGTATAATACGTTTCTATATTAATTGTCAAATATCGACGACGAGAGAATTAAAGTTCGCTTCCATGGATTTCTGTAGTTTATATTTAATAGAGACTGCAAAATCCTCGCAACGAGTCCGACACGACATTATGGCGCAAAGGGTTAAGTATCAGAATGTTCCCGTTGAAAAAATAATGGAAATTCTGCATTTAAATAACCGAATGAAGCGATAAACGATCAATTTATCTAGCTAACGCGCGTCGTTTACGTGCTACATAATTGGAACTGTGAAATCGGCTAATTACGCGTGTCGCGCGTTAATTAAATCGCTGATTTTCTGCATCTGTAACACAGTCGAACGTGAAAGAACGGAAGAAAGGTTCTAATTGAATTTAACGGGAACCTGATTTTCTGCTTGACGCGGCGAAGTTATTCATTGAGATAGTAAGTAGACTGTGGATTTCATGTGTCGGCAGTATATATATATCTATTTCTCAAAAGATATAACTGAAGAGAAACTTTTCTCGGAACTTCGTATCGTAACAATATTTTATTTCTGGTCTAATAAATCGTAATGGAGAAAGTAAAATGTTGCAGATAATATCAACGAATCTCTCGAAACGCTAAAAATGCGAACCTGAAGAGAAGCGTCTAATAAGAGTTACGAGTGCGCTTTTTATTTATTATCAAACGAAATACTATTCGCACGAAGACCCAGCAGCCTCGCTCGCAACCTCGAAACAGTGAACGCGAACACGACTTCCCGTAAAACTAACGAACGAGGAAATCTCGGCGCGGACACGCCGTTACGACGGACAGATTCCAATAAACTCCGCGAGATATAATTAACAGCCGAGCACCGAGGGAGCCCGTCGCACTCGAACAATAGACACAAAAATATCCTATTTTTTTTGTTTTCTATCCGTCGACTGGGAACGAGAGAACCGAACGAAACGGCACCTTCGGTCGCCGATTCAATTATCCACGTAATTATTACGCTACCGGCGCGGCGCGATAAATTAGTATCGGTGCCTATGTAACCGGTCGATCGAAATCGGTTCGCGATTGGTCGAGAACGGAGCGCGTAGAAAGTAACGGATAAATTAGTACGGGGAAATGCGGCGCCCTCGGAGAATGGAACGTTTTCATTCGGACGGTGTATCTTTTATCGGGCCGTTTTGCAACAACAGGCCCGGCCGAACTCGTTTGTCGTTCCTTTGTTTCGTAGGAGGCGCCCGAGAGAAACGCGGATCTAACGAGGATGCTGATTGTTTAGCATAAACGACCGCAGAAACGCGCGCTTCCCACTTGTTAGCTGCCTGCGATGCGATTTATTTTACGGCCACGGTGATTCCGTCTTCGTCGATTCTTAAAGCCGCATTACACTCTTCCAATTTCATTCTTCTTCCGACTACGAGCGCCGTGACAAACTTGAAATTATGCTGAACCTTTTTCTCGCATGCCCGACATACGTATTCGGGGATGCGAAACGTGCATATTTTACGTGCAAGTTGCACTGCAATATATTTTGTGCTTACAGTGATTCAATCTCTCTTCTTCGATCGTCTAACGTATCACTCTGTGACTAACTGTTTCTTCTAGCAGCTGAATATGATAGGTTGTTCGGAAAATAATTTCGTTTCTCTTTTTTTTACCAATCAATTTCACCAGTTTTTTAAACCAGCCAATTTTATTCCAAATCGCATTGTCGTTATACATTTCAGCAGCTGACGTTGCAAAGCTTATCAGTAAGAAATTCGTGCAAATTCTGCGCAAAAGGCGATTGTTTAACATGTAATTGTTATCTGTAAATTTGATTCGATATCTATCGAGCAATTGCACGAAGATTGATCTAATTAATCACTTGTCATACTTTGACGAGCAGGTCTTCTTTTAAGTCGGAATAAAATTTTGTTCTCTTCTCGCCGATATTCGATCGTTCAAGCAAATGCAGGCGCACAGCGAATATGAATAAAATAATAATAAATATTGATATTAATAAAATAATGAATAAATATTAATAAAATAACGAGTAAATATTAATAAAATGGAAGCAATCGTTATAGTCGAATAAGTTGTAATTGTAGCAACCGCGAGATAAATGGCGCATAAACGGGATAAAAGAATACGATCGATTCCTATCTAAATGGAGCTTCGAACTAGCAGAAATTTCGTGCTGCTCGGATTAAGCTGCTGCAGGCGTGGGTGTTCCAGTTCTGTTCAGGACACCGTGTATAAGCATACTTTCAGTTGATCGGCGTAACGAGGCTAGAATCCAGCCCGTGATTTCATAGCAGGCCAACGCATGCGGGACCACGCAGGCAGAACGAGGAATTTCCTTGGCAACCGGGAATTCAGATTCGTGGTTACAAATGAGCCTGGCTATAATTAGGAAGATGGTATCGTGTGAGAAGGTGCGCTACACGCAGAGAAGCCGTGCCTCGTGTTCGACCGCATGTTCTCCGCGAGGATGGTTTGTCTAACGACGCGAGGAGGCAATAGCCTCGAACCAGCAAAATCGACGTCGTTGCGGAAACCTTGACACTGAAACCATTACCACGTTGGATCGCCGCTCGAACGGGTCTCGGCTCTTTGGATAAAGAGCAACCGTGCAGTAACGCTGCAATTTGCTTTCCCGGCTGAATGGTAGATCTTTAACTAGGAGACCGATCCTGGTCTCTTACCGCGACGCGCAGTCCTGTCGGCTTAAATAAGCACGATTTAACCCTTTGCACCCGAGCGGCGGCGACTCCGAGGCGTCGCTAAAAATTGCTATACTATTTTTCTAGATAATTGTAACGCTATCAGATTCGTTTATATTTTTTAAAAATGGTTTAAACTGCGCTGTACTTGCTAGTAGGCGCAATTTCACACGAATAAATCGCACTAAATCATATAAAATGGAAGATATTGTGGGTCAGAAAACATGCTTCGAATTTCGAATTAAAATAGCTTCGACTGCGAAGGGTTGAAATACCGTGAACAGACAATTTCGAACATTCCTTCGAGCATTTCGATCTCGTAGCTTCGAACTGTGCATCGAAAAGCGTTTAATCAATTTTTTGGAATTCCTAGAACGAATTCGGCGTGTTCTGCTTTTGTGAGAGCAAAGCGGAACCAAGCCGAGATTGAGCATCGTTTTCAGAGTATTCTCTTCGATGGCTCTGAATTATCGGAATATTGAAAACACTCTGAAAACGATGCTTCGTTCGATCTCGGCTTGGCTCCGCTTTGCTCTCACAAAAGCTGAACACACCGAATTTGTTCTAGGAACTGCTAAAAATGGATTAAACGCTTCTCGATGCACAGTTCGAAGCTACGAGATCGAAATGCTCGATGGAATGTTTGAAATCGTCTAATAATACAGCAGCGAAATTCGTTGTATGTAGAGACAGAATTGAAAGATTGATTACAAAAGAATTTTTCATTTACTTATTAATTACTGATTGATTACTTGAAATTACTCGATTCATTACAGACGCGCGTTGCTTACGGCGCGTAGATATTCGAATATTGATATTTTTTGAATCGTCGAACACGCATGAAGTAGCATAGGTACACAGAAGTAGCAATGATTTATCATACTTTATACGAGTGCGCGTGTGTGCCAACCTTCATAAACTCGTTTCTTCCGAAACCGCATCTTCGCCGATCATCGAAGTTCTCGTTTCCCAAAGGATGCGAATCTCAATACAGTATCTTAAAGAACTTGTAGAGCAATGGAGAAACTTCTGTTCTTTATTGAACATTCTGGTGCACGCAAATAAAATAAAACACGAGCCATCGGAACCACTCAAGATGCCCGTAACGAGGCAACATGTCGTGACAAGGCTCAGTGTTTTATTTCAAAACAGGTCACACAGTTAACATAGTTTCACGGCGACGTAGTTACAGGAATGTTCATGCTCGGAGGGTGCACCGAAGCAAGATAAAAGAAGAAAAAAAAAGGAGACCGAGACTCTTATATTCACCGTCCCATGGGAAGTATCCTGGAAAGATGATAGCAACGCAAATAAAGCTACTTCCTCCGAGCCGCGAAAAACACGTATCTTGCGTTAATGAGCTCATTATATACGGGGACTATTAGAAACCTCCTAAGAAAGTTCATGCAAAATCTTCGCCGGAGAATCTTAATGAACGATCCCCGTTCAGCGACAAGGGCTTTGCTAGACGATACTTCAAAAACGTTGCCAGGATTAAAAAAGATGTAGCAAGCAATTTCAACTTTTTCAATACTTCTGAAGATGACGGAGATATTGAAAATGATCGGTACACGGTGTGGACCCTGTGCACTTATGAGAAAAGCGAGCTAAAACTGATGTTACTCGATCTTCGATTCAATGCATTTATTAACAGCACATTTTTATTCGACCTCTGTCCATTGAAATCCAGGCAAATAATCTTTATTTCGCATAAATATCTGTTGTTCGGCGATCAAAGTTGTTGCTCCATCTTGTACATTCGACAAGAAAGAAGTACAGCAATGTCTCCCTTATTCGCGCTTAGATTGCGCACAAAAATGGACAGTTTGGGAAGAGGAGACACGATTAATTTGTGTCTTGCGGCTCGTTTTATAGTTACGAATTATCAACAACTATTGGCAAGGCTCGAATAATCGTATCTCCGCTTCCCGAATTGTCCAATTTCGTGCACAATCTGAGCGTTATTAGAGAGACACTACTGTACTGCTAAAGATGCTCGCAAACTAAGGAAGCTTGAAATATCAAGAACGAGATTAGAATAATTTGTTTAACGTCTGCAAAGGTTCAATCTGGATCAGCTTGAAATATCGTTCGTAAAAATTGGAGGATGATTAAAAAAACGCATAGCTCAAAGAAGTATAGTACAGAACAATTTTTGATAAAAATATTGACCTTCCATGTCGAAACCACAAAGAGTTACTTTAATATGCTATAACTAAAATTCAGAAAGATTGTCTTAAAGTAGGCGTTCCAAGCTTCAATTTAACAGAAAAGTCATTATCCTAATTAAACGCACTGCTCAAAAAAGTACAGTACAGAAAAATTGTTGATAAAAATATTGACCTTCCATGTCGAAACCACAAAGAGTTACTTTAATATGCTAGAACTAAAATTCAGAAAGATTGTCTTAAAGTAGGCGTTCCAAGCTTTGATTTAACAAAAAAAAGTCATCCGTTCATTTCTCGCGGAGCTATCGTCGGTCAAAGTTGGCCAATTTTTATTCGAAATATTTCGATGCTGTAATTTGTTGCACGATACATTTCGGTTAACACTTGGGGGATCCGTAAAATTGCTAAAAATATGAAAAATCATGTTGGAACATCGAGGAGCCGAAACGATTCCTGCATCGTTCGCATAATTCTCGCGTGGCCGGTGAAAATCCTGTTTCGGACGACACGAAGGATCCAGGTGTTGTTCTATTGTTTCGTTGAAACGACGATGGCTTTATTAGTTTCGTAGATCTGGATTGCATTCGATTCGCATATGGTCTAGACGGCCGGAACGCTCCTCCGGTATTCGGTTTCCGCGAGAATCACGGAGTCCGCAAGAATTCCGCCGCTGGAGGAAGCGTAACACCGCGCGGCGTGGATCGGGCCGCGGCGGAGCGGTGCGGAGAGAAGCGGCGAGAAGCGGCGAGAAGCGGCGAGAAGCGGCGCAATGTAACAGTGTAGGAGGGAGCGTATTTTTTTTCAATTAACCATTCTAGTCCCCGGCGGTTCTGCACGCTCTCTCGCAGCGCCGGGTTGTAAACGACCGTTGCCGCGGACAAGGCAGGTGCATGTACCTTCGCACGCCTTAATATATTGACTATACTATACGCGGAGTTTCTCCGCGCATCGGTTATTCTGCTCTCGCACGCCCACGCCGCGGATGTAACTAATCGCATTCCACGATTAGAAAATCCGGGCGTGCCCCCTCGCGACACCCGGCGATGCACATGTCCAGATAAACGATGGAATTTCGCGGGCATGTACCGGCGCCGGATCGCTTTTATTTCGCCGGTCCCGGCACGCGATGTTCTTAATTAGCAATTCAATAATTTCAGGAACACGAGCAGAGTCGAATTCACACTTTCCCAATGCGAATTGCCCCCTTTTTGCCGGCCAACGATGTTGGCGATATATCAAATGGATCGGAGATTTATAGCCGGCGTGTTTCTTTTGCTAGAAAAGTTTTTCTATGTGGATCATCGTCGATGAACATGATGATGCTGGAAATAGAAGAGTGTGGCTTTTCTGACTGGAGATTTTATATCTTTGTAATCGACTTGTCGCGATTATACGCACACTTTTATATACGTCAATCCTTTCAGAGGTGACTGAAATGAACGAGTATAGTGGAAGGAATGACTATAATAATTAGAATAAATGCATTTATGACAAAAATGGCTGTATCCTGTACAAAACTATAAAGACATTAGAAGTATTTCTACAAGGTGTCCCGAAAATGTCTCGCAATCCGAAAGTGACGGGTTCCTCGGGTCATTTCCGGATTGCGAGACATTTTCGGGACACCCTGTATATTTAGTATTTCTATATTTCTATCTAGTATTTCTATATTTCAATATTGAGTACAACTCTTTCAAATCCTTAAAATAGAGAATACATTTTCGTTAAGGCTACGTTTCTTACGATTTAACTTAAACAATTTTTATTTTGCACAGAGATTCGCAGTCTAATAATATAACACGTCTAATATATCTATAATAATACAATATCTACTACACTATTTTTATGACTTTATAATGTATTTCGTATTCGGATCTCATATTTTGTGCTCACATTAAATTCACATTATAAATCATGTAAAGATCATGTTAGATCCAATCGTTTAAAAATGCAAGAAATTAAACGAATACAGCTCTCGCAAGTACTTCGAACGAATTAAACATCGAAAGAGAGAGAGAGAGATAGAGAGAGTTAACAGTAGTTGGATCAAGCCGATGGCTGCGTCAATTTTGACCCAGAGTATTTAAACCGTTCGTTGCAAGAAATATCTGCAAAAATATGTTTCGAAAAACTGCTAAATAAAGCTCGGAATTGTTATGAACATCGTCGATGATACGGTTGCGAAAATGTGAAGTATTCCGAGGGTTGAAATGTAAAGGTGGAACCGCGACGAAATACTCGCGGCATTGAAAGGTTTAACGGTCGTCGATTTCGTGTAACGTTCAAAGAAATCTGGCTGGTGAATTTCCATAAAGCCTCCACGGTAACGTTACCGTATCTCATTAAAGGATAATACCGAACCCCATGGAAAATACATGACTCGGGATTACCATGTATAACGGAACGAAATGGGGACTGTTATATGTAATGCATATCGTGAATATGCATTGTCGTCATGAATTATTCCACCCCATTAAACGTTAATAATGTGGCCACGACGGTACTCACCTCAACGACGAAGTAAAGAGGATCACCGGGAAGGGCTTGAACGGCGAGGTAGCGGCTGGCGGACACCAGGGGTTGAAGGCAGGACCGCGCAGCCGTGACACCGCTACCACGCATGCTGCATGCTTCATTTCGTCGCCGCTACGCACAGCGTCCTCACTGTAATCACAGAAGATCAAACGTTCGATCAGAAATCGTGAATTTATAACATTCGTGGCCGGACAACATTTTCGATGTCAATTTCTAGAACAAGTTTGACACTGGACGTACCGAATACCGAAAGCAACTAACCGCGTTGTTGCATAACAAATGAGAAGACTGAATTTATTTCCGTCGTTTTTATGGCAATGAAAGCTTGAACGAAGGAATTTATTAATTAGGCATTTATTAAACAAAGGAATTTATTAATTAGGCATTTATTAAACAAAGGAATTTGTTAATTAGGCATTTATTAAACAGAGGAATTTATTAATTAGGAATTTATTAAACAAAGGAACTTATTAATCGTTTTTCGTAATTTCGATATTTTAAAAATCAAAACTGTACAAGTCAGAAATAATCGAACGATATATTCTTAAATTCTTACATTGACTTCACAGTTTTCTATCTAATTTATTTATTCCTGTCATACGTGCGTAAAATCCGCTGTCTAGTCTCACACGACTGACTATCTTCTTAGAGGATTTAATTGTTACACGAACTTTTATACGTTGCGTTTACTTTTGCATGATTTTAAAGAGTGTACGAGTAACTGATGTTTGCGAGGTTTCATCCTAAAAACTATGGAGACTATACAGAAGTATACAGGGTGTTCCAAAATTATGGTATTTCCGGGAAATGAGGGGTTCCTGAGATCACTTGAAGCAACTTTTTCCTTAGCGAAAATGTTCTACGAGGCTTCGTTCACTAGTTATCAATGAAAAACGAGTGACCAATCAAAGACGAGCTCGGTTGGCGCAAGGCAGCCGAGCCAATCAGCGGATCTGGACTTCGAGCGCTCGTTGGCTCGGCCGCCTAGCGGCAATCGAGCTCGGCTCTCATTGGTCACCGTTTTTCGTTAATAACTCGTGAACGAAGCCTCGTAGAATATTTTCGCTAAGGAAAAAGTTGCTTCGAGTGATCTCAGGAACCCCTCATTCCCCTGGGAATACCATAATTTTGGGACATCCTGTATAACACATCCTTGGACTGCGAGAAAGTTATATTTATCGTGTCCATCATATGTATAAAATGTGATAAAAATGCCGTGAAAAAAATATCACGCTAAGGATTACAAATATTAAATAATCATATTCATAAAATTCGTTCGACGTTCTTCGCGTGAAATATAAAATCGTGCTCGTCAAGCATCTGTGACGCTGTTTAGCGAACGTGTTAAGTACATTTTCGTATCGATATTTTAGTCTTTCGGAATACTTTCCCGCGTTGGGAAACGCGTTCATTTTGTTATTCGCGTAAAATCGGCTGCACTTCGAGTGCATTCGAACCGCTGGCACGTTGAAAAGATATTCGTTACGAGGAAAAAAGCAAGGCCTGTCCCGAACAGCAGGAAGCGAACAAACGATTAATTCCGCGAGACTGGCATCGATGACCGAACGATCGTGTAATCCATCGACAAATGGAGGAGGACTACCGGATTTTCGGTACCGGGCTGGGCTATTGGCCGTTGAACAGCGCGGCAACGAAGATAACAATGCACGGGAGAGCCGATAGGAGTATGCTAATGGAAACGGTAACCGGTCGCACAAATCACGGTGGCGTTTCCAGAGAATCCAGCCGCAAGGAATGGCTCTGGCCGGGCCCCGCGCGGGCCCCGCTCAGGCCCCGCACGGGCCCCGCACGGTTTACGACGGGTGTGTGCTGAATCCCCTCGCGGCGCTCCGTTCACGGTAAATCACAGAATCGCTCCCGGCGTTACTCCATTTTCATCTCCGTGGAACAAGAAGCGGTCGCGTGGATGGAGAAACAGATGGCCCCTCTCGGCGCCGAGCCGGCCACCCGCTCATAAATCCGCCGGACAATAAATCCTCGAAAAATGCAACGCGAGGCCATCCACCGGCTCCCCGAGGAATTTCGCGTGACCCTCGGCTCGATTAATTGCTCCGCGAAATTTGCCAGACGATCCCCCGGAATCTTCCATCTTCGTTTCTCGCACGCGAGACTCGGTCCTTTAAGGCCGAATAGCCACGTATCGACGGCACCGAGACTACACATTTTATCGCAGACGTGGCGAGAATATATATATATATATACCGAATTCTAGTTTTATTACACGATTTCATTCGATTTAGCACGGTTAAAACAGTTATGCGATTTTTTGAAGAACGATTATTTGCATACATGTGTATATATGTGTGTCCATGTCTAAAAATATATATATCTAGAAAATTATTGCAAATATATATATATATATAAAATATATATATTATTTATATATTATATATTATTATTTATTTTTATTTATTATATAATATATAATATTTATTTATTATTATATATTATATATTTGCAATAATTTTCTAGATATATTTAAGGCAGTACTATTCTTCTATCTATGTAAAAACAGAATCTAGTGTATACACCCCTTAAGTAATCGGACATTTGCTTATTTCAAGGAAAATGATTATTAGAACACAGACGCAGTCGACTGGATTAATTTTAACGCTGAATCTTGTTGCACGCGTCTTAGCCCATAATCTGATTTTGGGAGGAAAGTATTTCTCAATACTCAACGAAACCCTCGTCGACAAAGAGTTACTTTCGTCGCAGTTTCGTTCGACCGTCTTGTCATCTAAATTCGCAGGACTTTTAATATCGCGACCCTCTGCATTCCTGAGACCCTTTGGAATCAGGAGCCCTTCGCATTCCTAAGATCTTTGGCGCGGCGTTTTTTCAGCCTCCCCGTTGCAATCCTACGACCCTTGGCATTGTGCGCATCTGCGTTCCTAGGACCCTTTAATTGTGGCCCTTCGACCTCGCTTGACCCTCGATGGTACCGCGGCGCCTGGCGATTCTAAGATCCTCGGTTTGCGCCTCGTAAGAGAACAAACACCTTGGTATGCCGGTCTCGAATAACCCAAGAGGAGGATCGACCCTTCACCCTACGTGTCCAACTAACTAGCGAACTGTTTAAAAGAAACTGGGATCATATGGAATCAGCTTTAGAGAAAAATCTGCGATCGATTACACCCGGTATCTCATAGTTAATTAGCATCGCGATACGCAGTGGTGCGAGCAATTATGGACTTAAAGTAACTTTTACATCCTGAGCTATGATTTTGAATTAGAACTTAACGAAACACCGTATTTGTATATTTCTATATTAGAAATAATAGAAAATAGTAATATACAAATACATCTTCTCTGTTTTTTGTTGTTGTTTAAATATCGGTAAAAATGTGAAGGTTACTTTCAACCCTATCATGACACGTGCAGACAATTTAATTTAGCGTAACAATAGAGTTACAATAAGTTATCGCGAAATAAACCTAGAAGAGATGAATAAAATAACGTTGTTAAATAAAAATAGAAAAATGTCCTGTTTAGGTGACGATAAAATCGAGGAAAAGAGTTCTTAACATAATCGAAATGTTTGTGAACAAATTTTACGAACTACTGAAATTCCTTTTCGATGTTGTCTATTCTCTAATAATTCATTACAACTGTAACGACGCGATGTTAGATAGAACAAAGCTAAGAAAACGTACAAGTATCATAATTATTCTCTTGTTAAGAGTTACAAGGGGATTCGAACGACTGCAGACCGACGTCTACAGGACGAAACAATGGAAAATAATAATGCCTTTAAATTCGCTTGGCCGTGCATCGAACGAGATGCACGCCGTACACGTTCTCTCCTACCCTCGGACCCGGCTATTTCGGGGTTGAACGGTGATTCGACGAAGTCGCCGTGGTAATCGACGAAATTGACTAATGGACGATCCGCGAGAGAGCAGAAAGGAGGAGAAAACCATCTACCCGCGGAGGGATGATCGATGGGATCCATTACCGAGAGACGCGTGCAATCCGCCCACACCCCGAGGAGCCTTACGCCTGTCTCTTTTCCTCGGTCCTACCCTGCTACTCCCCCACCTTCCCCGTTTAGCCCGTTCTTTTTCCCCGTGTATACCTACTCGTGGCCAGAGAGTTGTCTATTTCTCTTTCTCGGCTGCTCCTCTCGGCGCAGCAGCGCGCGTTGATGCATTTACTCGCTTACCGGTATAACTGCCACGCCATTACAAGAGAGCCGGTCCTCCCTTCTGCCTCCCTTTCCTCTTACACCCTCCATTTACACTCGCTCCCTTTCCTTTTCGCTAATACGCTGCGCCCTTCCTCCACCTTCTCCGTTGGATCCGATACCCGGCGTAACTCTCCAAACAGAAATATTGCAGCAGTCGCGAAATTCGTGGATCTAGGTATCTGCTCTTTTGATATTGGTTCAGAGACCTTAACAAACGAATGCTTTTATTTATTTATGATTATCAACGCATAGTTAGCCCTCTTACAAAGAACGCCGTTTAATCGACGACAAGATCGCAACGATCTTTTTACACAGATCGAAAGTATTGCACATGCTAAACAGATCAGAAAAATGTAAATTAACCCTTGGCGCTCCGTTGGCTCCGCTACGGAGACATCCGTCATTTGTTCCGTAAATTTTTTAGCACGATTACACCGAAGATGCTATGTTTCTGTCGACGTTGGCAATTGTTATTTGCAGTGGAAACGTGCTTAGCGTGTGTACCATTACGATTAAAAATCGAACGCTTTCGCAAGGACGTGTAATCTTTTCCGCTGAAAATAAGACTTCCTTTGTCTCAGGCGCTTTGCTCCAAAAATGTGCCGAAGTTGCTGGTAGCGATATTTTTCAGAAAAACGCTGTTCAACTTTATTTTAGAACGTCCGAAGAATGTTTACTAATTTTTAATTTAATTTAATTATCAATCGAGCCGATCCCAGTGAAGATTAACAACAAAGAAGGAAGAAAAATTAAGGGTGCTGACTTTTATTTCGAGTTTCGTTTATTTTCTGCTGAATTTTAACACATCCGATGCGAAAAATTGTTTGTCATACTCGGCCACTCAGGATCCAGTTTCAAACGACTGTCACTCAAAAACTAGCAATACCACTGAGACCGAAAAATTTGAAAATATCATTTG